TCCCTACAAATGCAATCCAACCACAGCTTGATACCACAGAGACCACCAAACATCCCTGCAAGAAGACAATTAAGCCTTTCACACAGAGCAAGCTTCAACTACAAGGCAGAAAAGCTCCAATCAAAGGTCCTCAGCCATCTCCTCCCAACACAACCTGAAGTGGGAACCCAAAATACATTGAGCTTCCCCAGCACAGTGCCAGCCAAGCATCCCTGGTGTCTTCTAGAGCTCTCCAGTGTCCTTTGGAGGGATCCCCCACTTGTCATCTCAGCACCTGCCAGAAAGTCACGTCCCACTGGGACCACCTGCTTCTCCAGCAACCCTTCTCCAGAGCCCAGCTGCAAAGACTCAGCCCTGGACAAGATATTTCATAACAGCTTCTCCTGGCTTTCTCAATGCTTAATCATTTCTGCTGTCGTCTGCAAATGTGTCTAAGCCTTTGCTATGAGGAAGCAGAGGTATCTCCACCTCCCTTCCTGGTAATTCTACTAGGGTGGGAAAAAAATAAAAGCTCATGTGACCGAGTTGTTAAGAAGACATCCCAAATACAAAAACAAGCTAATTAAAGCCAGGCATGACCTAGTCATGAAACAAGTCCTTTCAACTGTAAAAGGAGAGCAGAAGTCTTTGAAGTCAGGCCTCGTAATCCAGCGAGATCCCTGCCTCCACCAGTGACCTCACTTGGAAGCTCGTTCTTACCCAACATCGTTAATGTCTTCCCAATGAAAGCTGGCTTCAGAGACAGCTTGGATTTAACAACTGATGAAGCCAAAGCCTCAGTAGAACAAGTTGCCCAGGGCACAGAGGAATCTCCAGGGGCTCTTCAACAAGGTTAGGACACCTGTGCAACTCCTCACATGTCCCTAGCCAGGGGGATGCCATCTCTCAGCAGGACTGTGGGCTGCCCTGCTGCACCCTGCTATGAAATGTGGAGGCTTGGGGTCCACCAAAGGGAAAATTCCCAGAGAGGGACTATCATCCCTCCTGCCCCAAATGAAGAGCCATAGGAGCAGCAGTGATGCTGATGCTCAGGAGAACGTGGAGCAGAGATCCATCACCCAGTGGCTGCAGGGAGAGGAAGCAGGGGAGCAATGAGACAAGAGGTGAGGGTTTTAAACTCAAAGAGGGGAGATCTAGATTGGATAGAAGGAGGAAATTTTTTACACTGAGGGTGGTGAAACCCTGGCCCAGGTTGCCCAGAGAGGTGGTAGAAGCCTCATCCCTGGAAACATTCAAGGCCAGGTTGGATGGGGCTCTGAGCAACCTGATCTGGTTGAAGATGTCCCTGCTCACTGCAGAGGGGTTAGACTAGATGGCCTTGAAAGGTCCCTTCCAACCCAAACTATTTGATGATTCTTGATTCCTTAAAAAGCCCAGCTAGTTCCAGGCTTTGAGGAAGCCACCAGTGAAGACCAAAGGAAACCTTTGCCAGGCCACAACGCTGCCAAATTGCCCCGAGTTTCACACTCTCCTCCCATGCTCCCAGCTGTGGTCACCACCGGGGACAGGACATTGGGCCAGTTTGGCAACGCCTGCATGTCTGCAGACATTCATCCCAACCCACTGCTGGAAACAACCATTGTTTGGGAGATTTACCATGAATGGAGTCAGATGCCGAGATAATCCCCTTGTTAGGCTGATTCCTCTTCTGGTGCATCCTGCATGACTCAGAGATCAGAAAAAACACAGCAAACGAAAGAAACTACTGAGAAAGGGCAGGGAAGAGGCATTTGGGAGTGTCCACCAGACTCCAAACACAAGGTTGTGCTGAGAAGGGCCAGGAGAACCACAGAGGTTCCCATCTCTGCTCAGAGAGGTCATCTACAGGTTTGTCTGGTGTTAGGCAAGGGGTGACACTACAAATTAAGAATGAACTTGTAGGATATCCATCCCTTCTGGGCAAAGCCATGGAGAGACTGGAAACCAAAGGGAACAAGCACATCCCCATGGCATGGTAGAGCATTTTAAGAGAAGAGGGGACATCTATGATAGACTGGAAAGAGACCCAAAGACAACCAGCCCCCAAACTACCAGTAATTTCTTTCCTCAAATTCAGACCAGCAAGAACTACCCCATCAACAACCCTGTCCCAGCTTCCAGCCTTTCTTTTGACATGCCACCAGGGATTGACACAGATCCAAAGGACCAACACCACGGACACAGATGCTCCAGCCTCTCCCTCCAGCTCCTCCCCACTTTTCGTCAGGAGCAGGGGAGAGATGTGGGAGGGGAAGAAGTGACAACAGTTTAAAGGACATTAGGACAATTGAGGAATAACCAAGATGTCACAGCCCAAACCTGCAAACTGAACCGGTGCTCCAGGAGCCACCAGGCTGATGTCAGAAGAAACACCATAGGATTTTTGATACCATAAATGATAAGAATATGAAGAATATATCAGTTTTATGGGAAAAATGTCATCCAGCATGATGGCACATAGGTTTGGAGGGGAAATACAGGTGACAGTTGCACCAAAGGAGTCACCTTCATCACCTCAGCCACGCTGAAAGCCCTGTGACAGCAGGAACACGGGACGGGCTGCCATCTCCTGCAACCTGCTTTTAAGCCCAAAGCATAGTGTCTTGGCCTAAAGTCAAAGAGCAGCTCATGGGAAGGAGACCGGGGTCTCCTGGAGCTGGGGACATCCCATCACACAGCACTGGGGTCTCCCTGAAGCAGGAACAGCCTCTCCCTTTGCATTAAGCGCTGATGGATGAGCACAGCGAGTGCTGTTTGCTTGCTGCTCCATCATCAAATGGTTTGGGTGGGAAAGGACCTTTCAAGGTCCATCTAGTCCAACCCCCTGCAGTGAGCAGGGACATCTTCAACCAGATCAGGTTGCTCAGAGTCTCGGCCAACCTGGCCTTGAGTGTTTCCAGGGATGGGGCTTCTACCACCTCTCTGGGCAACCTGGGCCAGGGTTTCACCACCCTCAGTGTAAAAAATTTCCTCCTTCTATCCAGTCTAAATCTCCCTCTTTGAGTTTAGAGCCATCACCCCTTGTCCTGTCACTACAGGTCCTCCTAAAAGGTCTATCTCCATCTTTCTTACAGGCCCCCAGGAGACTCAGAGGATCCCCCCACAGCTCGGCCCATGGGCTGGGGATGCAAAACCACCAAGGAGGAGATGGGAACACAGCACAGGGAGTGATGCTGCTTCCAGCCAAGCTGGTGTTGGCAAACCATGGAGCTGGTGAGCACTGAGCGCCTCGCCGTGGGGAAACACGCCCCGGCACCAGCCCTCCTGCCCTGCAGACAGACCCTGCTTTTAGCCAGACACCTGCCAAAGCACATTTCTGGCAGCTGACCACCTGCAAAAGCACATTTGGAGCAGCTGGTCACATCCAAAAGCACATTTCTTTTAGCCAGCAAAATGCAGAAGCTCCAGCAGACCCCAGGTCAGATCCATCTGCTCCATCAGAGGTGGTGGGGCAGGATTGTTCCCTCCGGCATGTTTTCTCCTCCAAATCTGTTTCCTCTTGATCTCTGTCTCGCTGCCTCCAGGGCTGTCTGTGCCTGGCTCTCTTCTGCTTGTCCCAGCCCTGATGTCACAGGCTCTTGAGCTGTTTTACCTGGGATAAACTCCACCCACCATTACCAAGCAGGCAGCAGGAGCAGAGGCTGCATGCAGGGAGCTGTGAACGGGGCCAAAATGGGGTGAAAACATCCCCGTGGAAGAATCCCTGAAAATCAGGCACTTTCTGTGGATGTTTGGGTATCTTACAGCTGTAGCCAGGCTGCCTTTCCTCAGAAAACCCATGTGCCCTGAAGCAATGAATCTATTCCCAACACAGTCCCAGCTCTGCCAGGTCCCTCAGGAGGTGACACAAAGCATCGCTGCCAGAGCATGGAGGAAATCCCAGACAATGCAACCCAACCTCCAAGCACTTTTCATCCACAACCTCTGCTACCAAGCGAGTTCACCATGAGTTTGGGAACCTTGACACCCACACACGCATCTGCTGGAGCCACCTGGACACGAGCATCGCTGCTGGATCTACCTACAAACACACATGGCATCTGCCCACGAGTTCCCACCTCCTGTCCTGCTCCCTCCTGGAGCATCCTGCAGCAGCTGCTCTCCTCCGTGTTGGCTACACATGGTTAGAGTCCAAAATAACCCTTCACTTGCTGGAAATCAGTTGTGGGTTTGTCACAGGGTTGAGCAGGAGCTACTCACGGAGATTTTGGTGAAGATGGAGAGCAGGAGAGACAGGACAGAGAGGTACATCCGGATTCTCTCCCCTCCAAACCTTCGCTGGAGATACTCGGGCATGGTGACAATCTGCCAGGGGAAAAGAGAGCGATTGCTGCCCTGGTCAGACCCCATCCTCTGGGGACAGTCCTGGGGGAGGCAAGGGACAGCTGTATTCCCAGAGCAGAGCTCAGGAGTCTCAAAGGACAGTGGTGACAGCCCTCTGGGGAGCAGGGGACCTGGCCAGCAGCAGCTCCACCTACCCCAGATGAGATGTAGACCGGCACGAACACCCAGGCCAGGGCCAGGAGAGCGTAGGTCACCTGTTGGGAAGGAGGAACATGGCACAGCCAGAGGAAACACTGATCCTGCTGCAGCAGGACACTGACTGCAGTGCTAGTCCTTCTCCACCGCTCCTGACCCCGCCCTGGTTCACCCTCAGATGCCCCTGTACATCCCCAAATGGCTTCAGACAGGGGGATGTAGGGACACGAGGCCATGGTGGAGACTCCCCCATCACCCTGCCAACAGGAGCCCACTCTCCTCAGCCCTTCAGCTTCTAACCAGACATTTCCACTAACTCCATGAGCACCAAACAAGCCAAGAGCCATTAATTTTTCCTGCAGGACTCAAGGATTTTAGAAGCAACAAGTGGAAGGGAATGGATGAGTTATTCAGCTGGCCTAGGCAGCTCTGGACCAAAACGTCCTTTTCCCTGAGCATGTGGCCTCGAGTTGACTCCAAACTCACTGTCCATGCACTAAACATGAGCCAGAGAAGCTGAATTAACAGGGTTAGTGTTAATTACCCCCTGCACGACTCCTCCCAAACCTTCCGAGATGTTACACGAGGCTGCTGTGAAATGTGAAACGGGCCATCTGCTGCCACACAGCTCCAGAAATTCCTTTTCTTAATACCACAAGACATTTCTTACGTTCCACTCGAAGCCGGTGACAGCGATTCCCCCGGCAGCACCGGTCCCAGCCAGCCCGATGAAGAGCCCGGAGCCTTCGCTGCTGGCGAAGAGAGAGGCGCCGATCTGCGGAGGAGCAGAGGAGGAGCTGCTGGTGCTCACGGTCGTGCTTGGCACGGCGGTTGTGCCAGCTGGACCACCTTTGGTGCTTCCCCAAGGGGATAACTCAGTGAGAGGAGGCAGCAGAAATAATGTCTGAACAGGAGCTGCAGAGCTCAGACCTCCCCACCCCTTCTAAAAGCAAAGTGTGGCCAAAGAGACACGCTGTGTGATGAGGGACGTGGACGTATTGTGCAAGAAAAACCCTGAACAGACTCCAATCCAGGTAACTGTGAACCCCAGCAACCAGCACTGCCGTGCATCCAGCTCATGCAGGCATCCCTGGTGGGTTTTGGATGGACTTCCTTGTCTTCAGGAGGATGAGGAGGAGCCAAGCATTGCTGCATTTGCCACAGTGGCCACGCACCCTGCCTGGAGGTGACCCTGCCCAAGCAGCCAGTGCCACACACAGGAAGGGCCTACAACCAGTTTGTCAAGATCATGCTGGAATAAAAGGAGGGAAAAAAGAAACTTGGGATACCCACAGCTTGTTGGAGCCACCAGAACCATGCAGGGCTGGTGGAGATAGATGTTTGACTCCAACAACCCCTCCCCAAGTTCAGAGCAGCCTATGAGGAGACCCACCAGAAGAAAACAAACTGGATGAGCTCCAGCATCCTTCACACAATGAGAAGGGAAACGCAGCTCAAAGGACACAAATCCTGGCAGGAGGAGGTGTACAGGGTGGAGGAAAGTGTGGGCAGGTGATGGAGAAAGCAGGGGGGCAGAAGAAGGAATTCAGTGGGAAGGGGAATGGTGCTGGATGTCCCTGCTGCCCATGGTGTCACAAGAGGGACAGAGGTCTCTACTTACTGGCCACCATGCCATGTCTCTGCCAGCAAGGAAATAGCCACTGACGGTGTTCCTGTTCACCCTGCATGAAGACTGGGAGGAGAAAAGATCAGCACGGAGCACCCTTCCCTAAAAACCCAGACAAGAAACCAAGAACCAAGTCTCCCAGACAAGAAGCCAAGAGACAGGAGACTCTGGATAATTAATGGGAGCTCTGCAACTCAAGCTTAATTACATGAAATGGTGGCTGCACCCTGAGTACCTGGAGCCAGGAGTAGCACAGGAGACATCCCCGAGAGGGGGAAACAGAGAGGATGTGCCTGTCCCACCACCATCCTGAGCAGACAGGTTGGCTAATAGGGCCCAGCTTTGGCCACGAGGCAGAATAAATGGTTTTGGAGAACCTTTGTCTGAAACCACGGGTAGCTGAGGGCTTGTTCTGTTAAGCAGAGTATTTGTCTCAACACCCTTTAATAGACAAGCAGGAGGATCTGCTGACGCCCAGCAGGGCAGGAGAGGTTTGTGCCGTGGTTAATTCCACCTTGTGTTGAGGCTACAGGAGCCGTTCCATCAGGGGTGAAAGGGGCAGAGGGTTTGTACAACAGCACAGTGCAGCACAAGACACAAAACACAAGTGCAAACTACAACAGGAGAAGAACGGAGGCTTTAAAAATATTCCATGAAGAAAAGTTAGTCCTGAAAGGAAAAAAACAAACAAACAGAAATATTTTAAGAAGAAAGTGAACAGGAGGAATCACTCTTACCCATATTCCCACAGCAACATTTAAGGAAAAATAAACCACTACGACAACGAGATCAGCAACACTGAGCTGCTGCGAGGGCGTGAAGGATCCAGCAGTGGCATTGCCCTCCATCGTTCCTCTGCCCCCTTCCTCATCCTCACCTCACACACACTCACTGAATCAGTAACTCGTTAGCAGCCTGAGGGCATTTATCATTAAACAACTCCGCTGCCTCCCTCCCCTTTCGGTTTCCTCACCGCCCTTCCCGAGGGGTGAGGGACACACCATCCAGGTCACCACCTCTTGATTTCAGTGTCTCACAAACAAGCAGCTACTCAACCTCCAGTTCCTTGGGGTTTTCTGCTGCTCCTGCACTGATCTCGTGGAAGCAGGAGGCTCCAGCCCAAGCTGCTCCCACAATCAATGTGTTCTGCGATGCAGAGTTTCAGGGATTGGGCTCCAGGGGCATCTTGCAGAGGTGCCTTAAATCTAAATATCACTGGACAAGAAAGTGCCCAGGCTTTTGTTTTCTGTAAGTTCTAAACCAAACCTCAACATTTTTTTCTTGCAGATACTAACTCTGGAAAGAATTTGCATGATCTTCTTCTATCTAGTTAGTTACTTTAGAAAGTGCTGAATAAAGCAGGAATTTTCAAGTGTTCTTTAGATTTGAAGGATCCCAGAGAGTCACTTCCAAGAACAGCCAGCATTTCTGGTCAGCAGTCCTAGAATCACAGAATCCCAGAATGGTCTGGGTTGGAAGGGAACTTAAAGCTCATCCAGTCCCAACCCCCCTGCCATCAGCAGGGACACCTTCCACTAGACCAGGTTGCTCAAAGCCTCATCCAGCCTGGCCTAGAACACTTCCAGGGAGGAGCAGCCACAGCTTCTCTGGGCAAAGTCACACATGCTTCACTCCCTTCCAACAGCTCCAGTATTACAGAAAGCCAAAGGACTGGCAATACCATCTTCTGACTGTTCCCAAACTCTTGAGTTCCTCATCAATACAGTACCTGCACTGCATGGAATGAGGCAAAGTTGGGGGTTTTCTACACACTAAAGGAGTCACGTCAACGTCCGAGGTGGATCCTCAGCACACCGGTGAGAGCCGACCAGCAGAAAGGCTCACGGAAGAGATGAAGCTGCTCCTCCAAAAACCAACGTGAAACAAGCAGCAGGAAACAACCTTTGAATTTCATGGGTTTGGGTATTTGGTAACGTCCTGGTTAGTTGGAGACAGAGCTGTTATGTTATTGATCACATCCATTGGGATCTGTAACCCTATCCTAGCAAAAAACAGGACAGGTCACCACCCTGTGTGCTGCACGGGATGCCTGGCTGGCTCGTTTTCCAGTGGCAGCACAAGATTTCACTAATAAAATAAACTCATTGCAACTAATACACCAGAATATTTCTCCTCTCTCTGAAAGAGCTGCTGAGGGACCCAGGAGCAGGTCTGCACGCTTGTGAGATGAACTGAAGTTCCCCCTCATCGCTCAGCTGGAATTTAACCTGCATTCACACATTCCAAGCGCGTACAAGTGTTAACGCATCAGCTCGGTGTGTCTGTTAACATTCCCCCAAGTGTTTAATAACCTCCAGGCATTAAAGTCCAACCAGGGACAGCCCTGCTTTTGGTCACTTCACAGAGCCAGAAGGTTCCTCTCTGGACACAACTGCAAAAATCAAACAGAAGAATCTTAAAAAACGAGCTGACAGAATGAAGAGCAGCTTTATCTGAACAGAAACGTGCAGCTGCTTAAATAAAATCACCATCTCACCTGCTGAATGTACCAACGACACCAAGTACTGGAGATCTTTTAGCAACCTCTAGGTCTTCCAACCACAGGTCTCCATCCTTCCCAGTGCTGTGCCAAGACAGACAAGGGAAGGGGAAAATAAATTAAAAAATAAAGTTTCAAAAATGGGAAAGTTTCAAAAATGGGAAAGTTTCAAAAATGGGAAAGTTTCAAAAATGGGAAAGTTTCAAAAATGGGAAAGTTTCAAAAATGGGAAAGTTTCAAAAATAAATTTAAAAATTGTTTTATCCTTAAAAGCAAATGAACAAGCCCTTGGAAGTTTGTCTCAAGCAGAGAGAAATGGTGTCAAAGGTTAGTTTTCACTTATGGCTTCAGATGTGCCACAAGTTTTATACTCATTTCCAGGACATTCCGATTGAGGGATCAGGCCAATCAACCCCTAAATGCTCGTTAATTGCACCACCATTTTCTCCACCAACACGTCAGGAACTTCAGGGCTCTGAGACTGGAAGCTCAGTGTGGCAGCTAGCTGGCCGTTCCACCCACCTACCTAAGGATGGTTGGGAAAACAACCCAAAACAAGGTCTGGCTGGGAAAACAAACCTGGTCAGATTTTTTATCTCATCCATCCATTCAGGCCAGGCTACAGACCTCTGAAAAACAGCAACCTGTGATGAATCACAGAATCATAGAATGTTGAGGATTGGAAGGGACCTCAAAAGATCATCCAGTCCAATCCCCCTGCCAGAGCAGGAACCTAAATGAGATCACACAGGAAGGCGTCCAGGCGGGTCTTGAATGTCTCTAGAGAAGGAGACTCCACACCCTCCCTGGGCAGCCTGTCCCAGTGCTCTGTCACCCTCACTGGAAAGAAGTTTCTTCTCAAGTTGAAGCAGAACCTCCTGTGTTCCAGCTCACACCCATTGCCCCTTGTCCTACCACTGGGCATCACTGAGAAGAGCCTGGCTCCATCCTCCTGACATTCACCCTTTACATATTTATAAACATTAATGAGGTCTCCCCTCAGCCTCCTCTTCTCCAAGCTAAAGAGCCCCAGCTCCCTCAGCCTTTCCTCAGCAGGGAGATGCTCCACTCCCTTCATCATCTTGGTGGCTCTGTGCTGGACTCTCTCCAGCAGTTCCCTGTCCTTCCTGAACTGTGGGGCCCAGAACTGGACACAATATTCCAGATGTGGCCTCACCAGGGCAGAGTAGAGGGGGAGGAGAACCTCTCTTGACCTACTAACCACCCCCCTTCTAATGCACCCCAGGATGCCATTGGCCTTCCTGGCCACGAGGGCACAGTGCTGGCTCATGGTCATCCTGCTGTCCACCAGGACTCCCAGATCCCTTTGAGCTAATTTGGATTTTACCAGCTGGAATTTCTGCCTCCCACAATATTCCCAAGTCCCTGGTGCTCCCTGACACCCAGCCACAGATTTAGCTCCCTCCCACATTCCCTGAAGCAAAGCAGCACACTGGAGCTGCTGTTACCTGCCAGATTACACCCCATCTAAACCCATCTGTGACAGCACCTGCCACCGCATGGTCAGAGGTTCTAGTTCGTGTTTTATGAGACTGCTCAGCAGAAGACAGGCTGAAAAACGACTACAAGTGTCAGCATTAGGGACAAGCAGTCTGCTCTCCTCATCTGCAGGGGATTCACTGCAACAACAAGCAAAACACACGTTATTCTCCTTACTGCCAAGGAGCCCAAATCCTGTTCATATTCCAGAGTAACACATCAGCACGGAAGATTCGCTTCACCTCTCGCAACACCCGCACATCATTTCTAAGAGGACACGTTTTAGAAGCGAGTGACGAGTACGCGAACGTTTTTAGAAAGCTCACACAAAACAAATCTTTATTCTTTGTGGCAGAAAATAAATACAGGTGCATATATCATATGCTTTTCTATAAAAGCACTCCTACAAAAATCACTGAACTGCATACAACAGTACAACCTTTTTGGCTTTTCAAATGCAAATATTATACAGTCACTTCATTTTATTATTTTTTTTTTTAAAGCACTTGTAGCAAGCAGCTTTGGAAAAGGAATGCTTAATTTAGAAGCCAAATTCTTGCCTCAAGTGTTTTGTGGGTTTTTTTCCATCACGTATATAGTGCAAACTAACCTAAAAGCAACTAGAACAGGTTTTTTTTTTGTAAAATGTTTATTCCCCACCCACCCACTCAAAAAAAAAAAAACAACAAAAAAAAACCAACACCCTGCAAAGAAAAAAAAATAGCTCTTAAAAACTGTTCTACCTTGATACTTAAAACAAGAAGTGGCTCAATAGAAATATTAAGGTAAGCACAATGCTTCACAGCTCATTATCTGTTGGCTTCCAGTTTGGCCCAGGGTGTTTCTTTAGAATAAAAAGCATTAATCATCCAGTCCTATATTTCTGAAAAGGTACGACATGGACTCCCCATTATGGATCCTGCGAATGGCTTCCGAGAGGATCATGCTGATATCCACAGTCTTGATTTTAGGGCACTGGAGTTTTTGTATTTCATGTGGAATTGTGTTTGTAACAACCACCTACAGAAAGAAGAAAAATTATCAGAAAGAGGCTGCTCCGTTGTGTTTCCCACCTCCTACATCAGAACTGTGAAAGGGAATGTCCATGTATCCATGGCTACTAATGGCACTGTCCTTCCTCCCTCTCACTGCCATCCAGTCCATCCTCTCACTGCTTCCCTAGTTTCCCACTGCTATAGTTTAAGGATGTGTAGATGCTGATATTCTAGCGCACAACCCAACCATAAAGAAAGGATGAACCCAGAAACCTCCCAGCTAAATTCTTAATGTCTTAATATCTTTAATATCTTTTCACAGAATCATAGAATGGTTTGGATTGGAAGGGACCTTAAAGATCATCCAGTCCCAACCCCCCTGCCAGCAGCAGGGACACCTTCCACTAGACCAGGTTGCTCAAAGCCTCATCCAGCCTGGCCTTCAACACTTCCAGGGAGGAGCAGCCACAGCTTCTCTGGGCAACCTGTTCCAGTGTCTGACCATCCTCACAGTGAAGAACTTCTTCCTAATATCTCATCTAAACCTCCCCTCTTTCAGCTTAAACCCGTTTCCCCTTGTTTTGTCATTAGTTGTCCTTATGAAAAGTCCTTCCCCAGCCTTCCTGGAGCCCCTTCAGGTACTGGAGGCCGCTATAAGATCTCCCCAGAGCCTTCTCTTTTTCAGGCTGAACAGCCTTTTAATATCTAATATTAATGTCTTAATATCTTAAATAATCAAGTCAGGAGAAAACTGCTTGCTTAAAAAAACCCAAAGCCATTTGATCAGAAATTCAGAATCCACACTCACTTCATCGATGGCAGACTCCTCGATCAGCCTGGGAGCATCTGAAGATAACAGGCCATGTGTGGCCATGACGAAGATCTTGTAAGCCCCTCTTTCCTTGAGGGTCTCTGCTGCAGCGAGAAAGCTGTCAACGTCATCTATGATGTCATCCTGTCAAAATAAGATGAAGATTCACCACGTCCTCAGACAGATCAGCACAGCACACCCAGACTGACATCATGTCTTTTGCAAGTATAACAGTTTACAGCCAACACAAAATGGATGTTTTTATTGACTCTGTTCTTCAAACACCTGAGCTAGAAAAGTGTGAAAGAGCAGAAAAGCAGAGTGTCCAAAACTGCTGCAGCATCAAAGGGCAGAGGGATTGCTGCACGAAGGGAACAGGGAAAAGCCCAGACAACTGACATTCATTCAAACACCAAACTAACAGAAAATTGTCCTTTTCCATGACAAGCCCAGAGATTGCACTGCTTTAGAGAAACCATAAGACTGCATCATCTCTACTTCAGTGGCATTTCTAAACTCACAGAACAGAAACACGATGATTTTCCCCTTGGCTGATGTGAGAGCACCACCTGGCACTCCTCACCTTCAGAGGCAAGCACTCAAACTGAATTTTATCTGGCCTGTTCACAGAAACAAGGTGTAAATGCTGCTTTTCAGCATGGATCACTCTGCAGTTCACACTCAGCTTCAGTAATTGTGCAGAATATTGCCTCGTGACATGAAGAGTGCAATATCGAAAGCCACCGTCAACCAAAGTTTAGTTGCTGATACAGCAGAAAATCTATTTGATTTCTACAGCTTTAATATATTTCATATAATTTATCAAAAGCATCTTCCTTACCACGATGATAGCTATTCTTCCTCCGACATCTCCGACGACTGTGATGGGTGGTTTTTCCTTGGGGATCAGCACTGATTAATGGCAAATTTTAGAGGGGTGGAAAGGAGAGAGAAAGAAAGTTGATACAATTTACTTCAAGCGTGGAAAGGTCTGGTTTTTTACAAGGTCACCACTGTTACAGAGAAAAATGAAGCCATCACTATTTCAACCATCACAGTGTTACTGGGAGAAACAGCAAGGTTTAACTATATAAGTGGGTTTTTTTAAGCTTAGCTAAAGTATTAACTATATTCATTTATACCTAAATTCTTAACCAATTCCATTAATTCTTGATTTTAGTACAGAGAACAGCATGGTTTGCAGACACAAGCAGTTCAATCACCCTACTGAGAGTCAAATTAGATTTATGTGATGAAGTTTTGCTCACACAGCTCTAGATCACATCCACATTCAGCAAGGTGACTCTTGTCAAGGTCCATGACATTGACACAGCTACACTCAAACCCAGCATCAGTTCAACTTATTAGCTCTGAGTCTCAGAATTCCAACAGGAAAAGTAAATGGTAAAAAAGTGGGGTCTCTCTGCCCAGGGTGCTCCTGAGTAGCTGTAATGACACAGCCCCTGTGACACAGGGGACACACTGCATGGCCTGGCACTAAAACCATGGACAAAGAACATCAAAAAGGAATATATTTTCCCCCTACTAAGAAAAAAGTCATCTTCTTTCCCCTAAAGAACCACTCCTTTTTGACAGTCTCTCACTGCCAGCCCTATCTCCCAAAGCAATTAAAAAAAAAACCCCAAGAAGTTTTGTGTGAAAAACCACTTTCACACACAAACTTACTTACTGGGAATCTCCAAACTGGGATGAATAGCAGCTACATTTTTGGCTGTAGGTGGTGAGTGTCGACCATCCACCATGTCAGACTCAGCATCTTGAGCTTCTCCATGAATCACAGCAATTCCCAATCGTAAGCGCTCAGCAAATGACTGTGCCCTGTAGGAAAAGGGTTAAAAAAATATATAGAAATACATTAAATTTAAAATATTTCATTATCATACAATTCTAATCTATTTCTATTTTATTTCTAATATTTCAGAGGAAATATGGAATGATCCTAAAACTTTAGGAAAACTCATAGAAGAAACCATTTGTCCCTTAGCACCTTGTTTTCACCAGGCTTGTGAGAGTCAGAATCACCATGAAATTACCCACACTGGCCTTGAAGCAGCAGGATAAATGCTACAAAAATAATGTTGATAACTCCCTTCTGGTTTGCCCAACAGTCCAAAAAACATTTCCCAGCCTTCAGCATTCTTGAGATCCCGTGCTTTAGCAGGTCTCATCCAACAGTAACTGAGAATAGCCCAGATATTTGGATTGTCTACATTTAATAGGAAAAAAAATATTCACATGAAAACACAAAACAAGTGTTCACCTCTTTATTTGTAGCAAAACGTGCACTAAATAAAGACAACTGCCCTACCCTTCTGACACCTTAGATATCCTACAGAAAGGAGAATCCAGAAGATCATTTTGCCTGACAAACCACACTTCAAAGTTAAAAAGCCTGGATTTTTACAAGCTTACAAAACATTCCTTCAGTATTTCTTCAACTAAAATGGAAAATTGACGTAAGGAAGTGTAAGGTTTGCTGGGGGAGTGGGGAAAGCAGAGAGTCAGGAAAACATGAATTTCACAGACAGTGCTTGGAACCCAGATGCTGGGAGCAGGAAATGAAAATGAGCAGATTCATCCTACTTTACCCTGCACACCCGAGTTTGGTTTTTAGCCTAAGCCAGCGATCTAGTCTCCTTCTGGTCACAGTGAGACTGCAATGCCCAGAGCCAGTCACTGGCTTCTAACATCAGCAGCTCAGACCTGTGGCCTGAAGCACCTTCTTTATGCTTAAGCCTTGTTTCACTATCCAAACAACTCAAAGTCCAGAGAATAATCTGCCCATCGTGATGCTCAGTTAATTAAAAACAAAGAATCTTCTGCCCTGTGGTTATCATACAGCGAGGAGATTTTTTTTTTTTTCAAGTGGTTAACTACAGTTAAATTATGATTCTGAACATATTTATCTTAAGAGTTATGACTTAGAAGGCATTACCCTATCAACAAAATCATAATAATTACTTTAAAATGCAATATTAAACTGAATACAGTTCAAAGAAACAATAAAATGACGTATTCATTTTCCAGGGAGTTCAGAAACCGCAGAAACATCCTGAACTTCACCAAGGAAAAGTTCTTCTTCCACAAGCAGACATTCATCTGGAAAGTGTTCTCCTTGATTAGGCTGCAACGTTCAATCACTGCTTCCCAAATGCAATGTACCTAGTGGAAGGTGTCCCTGCTGCTGGCAGGGGGGTTGGGACTGGATGATCTTTAAGGTCCCTTCCAACCCAAACCATTCTATGATTCTATGATACCTCCTCAAATACTGCTCTGAAATGCTCACAGGTGCACGTGAAGAAGCTGAACAGTGCAGCTCTGGTGTCCTCTCCTACACCAATTGGTTATGTATGTGTCAATTATTTGCTGGGAGGAGGA